GACTGTTCCAATCTCCAGCATACTTGGAATTCCACCGAGGCCGCGTCCTTGGTTTGGGGGTAATTTCGAGGCTGCACATGGGTAGACTTCGCGTCCTTAAAATCCCCACAATGCTTTGCGCACGGACGTACACCTGCACACTTGCTAGCCTGTTCCACTCTTCGTTTTCCGAATGGAGGAGAGGGTGATTCTCTTTTATATTCCTGACATTCACTCTCAATCTCTTGGCAATTTAGACCGCTTATATCTCTACAGTGACTAAGAACTTGGTTTCGATTAATGGAAGAGAAGAAAGAACAAGACAAGCATCAACTAATCAAGAGTCAAAATCCCACACTCAACTACACACAACCACCAACCTTAATTCCTACCCCTTTTGCCTTCGGGAGGACCATCATTATTTGCATGAGCACAAGAGATTTCTTATAGGAAAAGTAACTAACAACCACTTTGTTATTTTATTCTGGCACAACAGTCTCTTAAACTGAAAGCTTCTTGGTTACATTTATAAGACATTGTGTTGGAGAGCAGCTGCAAGTCCTTTTGCAGTAGATTATAATGGCAGGGATTGAATTAATCATTCCTGTTGACTTGGAAAGTGATACATAATGTACCAGGTGGAGGTCATGCAAGGTGGTTTTGGGACCAAACAATAGAAGAATATGATCGTGAACAAATAAAAATGTCCCTTCCTTTTTAAATATGACGAAGAAATCTTTTAATGAGGCACAATAGCATCTGCGAGCCACAAACCACAGTAAAGGCTGTGAATGAAAGATATACTACTAGCTGTAACTGAACAAAGCAACATGAAGAGGAAAACAATAAGTTAAGGCGAAATAGCAGACAAATGCTGTTAACAAAAGGGTGCAATGTCAAATAAGGTATAGGTTTAAATTGTGTTTTATTCAGTGCTTAATGCAAGTCTAATCTCTGTTGGCACTGACCTGTCTTACCCAGCATTCCTGTCCAGCAGACAAAGAAACCTGTAATCTCCTCCTCATCTTCATTTCAAGTGAGGTGACTCACATGGAAATGTCTCAATACATTGTTATTTGAATGAGCATTGTACTTGTTCCAGCCTCAGTGATTTATCGGCACATCAGCTGATTAGAACCAAGTTTATAAGAAACATATTTTAATAACACTTCCTCTATGTGTTTTAGTAACAGTAACTGTTCTAAGATTCAGTGGTTACAGTATATGACAGCTCATTTATAATGATGTACGCTGAAGTTTTGGATATTTCACCATTTAAATATTTTATCTAATTTTTAAAATAAATTGTTGTTTTTTGACCTACTTATAGAGTCAGAGAGTCAGAGGCATAATAAGGATATCATTTGTGTTTTTATCGCTATTTCACTTTCTGTTAAAGGATGAATTTTAGAGCTGTCCTAACCCCTACCTGTTTACAATCAGCAGTGTTCATCATCAGCTTCTTGCAGCAGGACATTTTTTTTTTGTGGGGACATACAGTCCTGTGTGAGACCAAAAATGTTGTGTATTCATCTGTGAAAACCCAACATTGATGTGATCTAGCTGAACCATAAATGGATTTGGCTTTAATGCTGTCAATATTAGGTTAGTTCCAAATATCCTATTATTTTTTAAGAGATACCCTACCATGTTCAAATATGAGTTTCTATTATCATTTATCTGCCGTCCTCATAATTTGTCTTTTAGTTAGTGCTAACACTTCATTTTAAACTGTTGACTGACTCGTCATTCCACTAAATTGCAATGACAGGCTGAATCTGCGACAACCGCCCTTATTCCTTCATGTGTGAAACATGAATCTGGCAAGAGTTATTAGGAATGTTTACAGAGCATTTCACAACCTTTTGGCAGACTCAAAGTGCAAAAATGAAAAAGGAGTTATTTTTTTCAACCTCAGCTGTATGTGGGCCCTGTTGGGGAAATATTTTCCAAGGCCCATAACTTTGACCCAGTTCATCAGTTCATACTGTCCTGACTGAGCACACGCACCTGTAACCTTGGCTGCTGTGCTCTCAGTGTTTTGTCTCCCTGTTCCTGCCTGTTGGCGTCAGCTGATAGAGGTATGATTATATCTTGTTATGCACAATGTTGATTATTCTCTCTGAACTAGCTAAATACATGGGTCTGGGGTAGAGTTCTTCCGAATTGACGTGTCAACTCTACCGTGAAGTCAGAACCTCTGACTCTTTGACTTGTTTTGTGAATTCTCCGGCCGAAGCTCCAAATAAACCCATCAGTGTTTGACATCAAAGCTCCAGCTCTCCCCGTGTCTCCTTTGAGTCTGTGACTCCTCCTGCATTGCTACACAGAAGTTTCCCTCACAGGCCCAAAATAAGTAGCTGTCAAAAGATAACATCACAGAAAGATTGAAGGAAATGTTACAGCAGTATTGCTGAAGGATTGCATCTAAATGAGGGCTGGGAATTCCCTGCACACAAGATGAAAAGACTTTAAGAATTGTATGAGTTTGAGATAATGTTATAAATTATTTTCTGAATTAAAAAAATACATAAAATGCCTTAAGGGTTGGTTTATTCTAGATTATTTTATGATTGTCAACAAATTAGACAAATGTCAAAAAACAAAACTCTCAAGCATCTGGTGAGTATTTCCTGTATCATTACACTGTGGGTGTCATTGAGATTGATTGGTTGGCAATGAAGAAGAATAAATTAATCAGTTTTTACATTGCAGGCCTCACTTTTTAGTTTGTTCCATTCAATAGATATGCTGACAATAAGACTGGGTTTTCAACAGCTTTCCTTTCACCTTTCACCCAGATAGATGGCTACCATGACCAGCTGTTACACAGCTCTCACTTTTTTTTCTACGTGAACCTTATCCAGATATTTTAGAGACAGAGCTGCTCGTCAACTTTTGAAAAGTAGCTTTTGTAGGCTGACAATCGGATTAAGTGGAATAGTTGGAATATTTGGGAGCAGATAGGATTTAAACCTTGTTGGTGCAAAACATTGTTATAAGGCTATACTTTTCCTGCGCTGTTTGTGGGTGAATTTCATCCAGATAGGCTGCAATCACGAGATTAAAATATAACAATGTCAGCACTGTCATAAAAGTGGTCCACAAACTGAAATTGGAGACCACAGTATTGGTTTATGAACAACCATTGTTTATGAATTCAATAAAGTTTCTATCATATTGTACAATGGTTTCCATTTGAGGTCCAATGTGATTATTGAACCAATCTGTGACTTCCTGAACCCTGTCTGTTGTCAGGAATATGTGTTCACTCAGTGGACACACACCTTAACCGTGGAGCTTTGTCCACAGCAGATAAACCTGCTGAACTCAGCAGGTATAAAGAGATCAGAGCAAACAGACAACACAGCAGCAGCCTGCAGACTGAGGGTACAGTCCATCTACTGTCAACATAATCCTTTGTACTGAATTCAAAAACGTGTTCCTCTGAGTTTGCAGAGAGAGAGAGAGAGAGAGAGAAAGAGAGAGAAAAAAAGGGGGTCGATCCAGAGTACAGTGGTGATTCAGTCGGTCGAGAGAGGAAGAAGAGAAGACGAGATGAGCCCGATGAGAATCCCACTCTGAAACCTGGTATTACCTACATCCTTATTTATGTTACATTTTGTTGTAAATATGTGTGTATAATGTACATTATTATGTATGTACTATACTCAGATACATTTATGGCTGCAACATTTTGATTTCTTGTGTATCATTTTGTATGCATTTTCCTAAATGTACGTCACAAATTGGAATTGCAACTAGTAATGTCAATCTTATTTGTTTTCTTCCAGCTCCTTTGCAGCCAGGAGCCAACTGCCACATCCTGCATTTGATGCACACATCCAGAGAAGGATTTTACTTTTGTCCACACATCTGCAAGAACAGTTTAAAACACAAAGGTTAGTTGAGATTGGTTTTGTAATTTGCCATTGAAACGCAGAAGGAAAGAGATTACTAGGAAGTGGTGCTTTGACATTTAATGTGAATTTAACAATATTTCACAGGATCTCTGCCTCCCCCTAGTGGCGACAGGCTGAAAGAACAGGGTATGTCTGAGCTGCAGCTACTCAGCACTTAAACCAAGATAAATATAACCAATTGTGCAGTATCCAGCAACTCTGCAGCATGTTTCAGTGTCTTTCAATAATAAACCCACTGAATGCACCTGCACTTCAACAAACAAAAGTAACTGGCTGAAACAAAGAGCAGCTTAATAGAAAGATATGTCTCTGGATAAAACTAAAGTGAATATTGGACTTACATTCATTTTGCAGAAAAGTGTATGTTAATGTTGCTGAAACGACTTACAACTCCACTACAATTTGTATTTATTTTATTTTTTTCATCCATTTAAACATTTCACAATCTCTATGCAACACTTAGTAGGAGTCCGGACCCCCATGTTGTGAACCAATGCCCTCATCTCTTATGATATAATGTCACTCATCTCTTTTGACTCCACTTCGAGCAATAGAATTATTAACAAAGCACTTATATACTAATAAAGGGCTGGCTTATCTAAAGCCAGTTGAGTAGCACTTGAAATGTTTTAGCTCTATGAAACCTGATGTACTTATATGATTCTGTTTTCTTCAAGTTTGTATCTTGTTGGTCGAACGCACTTATTGTAAGTCACTTTGGATAAAAGCGTCAGCTAAATGCAATGTAATGTAATGTAATGTCACCTAATCTAATGCTTTATTGTGATTCACAGGTCATAATAGTGCCTCAAACCTGGCGTCCCTGAGACCGCAGTAAGCCAGAGTCTGTACTCGCCAGGGTTGGGTGTCAGCCATGTCTAGGCCTCTTCTCTCAGACCCCCAGGAGAAGCTCCTCAGCCACTCCATCCTCACCGCAGCCCGGCTGGCCCGCGGAGGATGGACAGAGGAAGGGAACAAGACAGGGTGGCAATTTTCCCATTTTGACTTGACTGATCAAACCTCTGTCTCCAGACCAGATGGAAATCAGGGTCAAAATTGTGCCGAGATTCTTGTGAAGGAGCTTGGGAACATGCAGGTTCACATCTTAAACAGCAGGAAGACAGCTAAGGAAAGAGTGACTGGCTCTGACCAAAAGGCAGATGAAGCGAAACACACACAAGCAGAAAGAGAGACGGGTCTCTGCAGTCAGACGGGCGTCTTGGTCTGGGCCTCTGGCTGTCGCCCCACATGCAGACGCCCCAAAAGGTTTAAGGCCCCGATACTACCTGTCATCGCTGAGATGTAGAACAGCTGCCATTCGTTCCAGGACAATGTAAAAAAAAGCATATGTACTTATGGTGCTTTTTGGCTATGGTAAGAGTTTTAGAATTTGTGTAGACTTTAATTCAACCTTGTGTTAAATGTTAAATATCCCTATAGGACCATGAATAAATGATCCTTTTAATGACACAAAAACAATGTTGTTTTAAACACCTCGTGCCCATTTGTGAAAAGTATGCTAAAAGTATTTTATAAGAAATGAAATGATAAGAAATATGTCTTATATTGAACATCATTTTTTATTTCTGATTTGATTCCATTTCATGAATTTATTTGAAATTATTTTACTATTTTATTATAAATCATGTGACCCAGTCATGCCAGCTTAGTGCAGTATTTTATTACTACATTTTCAAATGAAAATTCTGAATTTTTTGTTTAAAATTCTCATCTTCATTTCAAAAGACGGTTTGCTACATTTTTTTTAATGTATTTATTTGACAGGGACAGTGCACATTGATTGACATTTCTGTAAATGCGCCAGAGTTAGCCAACAGGCTATTTTTCATCTGCAGTCCCTGGACAGATGTTGAAAGTCATCCTAAAAAAAAAAATTCACTTCAAATGATAAAAAGATTATGATAAAAGCATCTATAAAAACATAAAGACATAAAAACTAAACTAAAATACATATTCACAAAGCAGACAGATAGCAACAGGTCAAGGCACATGTACAAACAGAGCGTTGTAAAGTGCAGATTGTGTCAGTGTTGACAGAGCTGATTTTCCACTAACCATGTTTTTAAGTTAGATTTAAATAAACTGCAGGTGTTTTGTTCTCTAATCTTTACTGGGATTGAGTTCCACTGTTGTGCAGCTTTAAAA